CAGGGGGCGAGGGGAGAGGAGGAAAGGAGGGGGGGATGAGGAGGAGGAGGAGGAGGAGAAGGAGGAGACGGAGGTGAGAGGGAGGAGAAGGGGGATGGGGATGAGGATGAGGATGTGGTTAGGGATAATCAAAAATATGATGATGCTGGTGATGGTGGCGATGCTGATGATGATGCTGCTGATGATGATGATGAGGAGGATGAGGAGGATGAGGAGGAGGAGGAGGCGTCCAGGAGGAGGGGGAGGGGGAGGGGGGAGGAGAAGCAGCAGCTGCAACAGAAGCAGGAGAGGCACGGGGATATGGGGAAGTGGAGGCTCGGCGAGGAGGACGAGGGGGCGTGCGAGGGTGCCGAGGGGCAGAACGAGGATGCTGAGGAAGATGAGGATGAGGATGAGGATGATGATGATGATACTGATGAGGCTGATGATGATGATGAGGAGGAGGAGGAATGAGGAGGAGGAGGAAGATGAGGATGGTCAGGGTTAAGGGTAGGACGAGGATGGGGGACGGTGAGGGTGCGCGTTCAGAGATGGGTGGGGGACGCTCCCCCATCGATCTCCTTACGCTGCCCTCACTTACCTCGGCTGATACTCGGCTTGCGTGCCCGTGGCGATACGTCGCGCGCGGTGTGTTCGCCGCGCAGTGCAAAGCGCTGCAGGTTGTGGCGATGACGCGGGGTCACAACATGCTGGCGGGCCTGCGGACAGCTCCCGCGGGGCCGCAGCAGGCCAAGGAGTTCTTGGACAAGTACCAGCAGTCGGAGAAACACAAGGACGTGCCAGCGGGCTTCTGGAAGGAGTTCGAGGCCATGGCGGCGGAGCTCCGCCCGTCGGCCTCGGAGGGGGGGGTCGCCGATGGCGGGTCGGCGAGCCGGCGCCCTTCCGGCAAGGCGGTGTCACGCGGCGTCGGGGGCGGCGCCCCGAGCAGCTTCCACGCGCCCGACGCGAAGCGGCAGTCGGCGTGCGCGGCGGGCACCGCTGCGACGAAGCCGAAGGCGGTGAAGGCAGAGGTGCCTTCAGGAGCGGCGAGGCCCGCCCCGGGCGCGCCCAGCAAGCGCGGCGCCGCTAGCGCCTGTGAGGCAACGCCTACAGGCCTCAAGCGCGCCAGGCGCTAGGCGCTAGTCGCTCGGCGCTCTTTCTCTCTTACAGCGCCTCCTCGAGCCACCGCGGGGCGACATGGGGGGGGGGGGGGGGGCGGGCAAGATGTCACACGCATTCGCATGCATGTGATAGTAACCGCGCCCATTTGAACGCGCATGGCCACGCACTCACACGCGCGCGTACCTGCGCGCGCGCGCCGACGACACCTACGAACCACGCAACAAGTCGACACGCACACACACTGCACTGCACCTAGACACCTAAACAACACACATGCCTTCTGGGAGGTGGCTCGAGGGGCCCCGTTTCGCTTTGAAGCCCCGAGGGTCGAAGGGGCTCTCTCGCGGCGCTGGCCTCGTCGCTCGCCCACAGCGCTGCGAGTGGGCGCTGGCGCCGCAGCGGGCTGCGCTGCGGTGCGTCGGCCAAGGATGGAGGAGAGGGCGACCGTCGCCCGAACAGTGATGCGGCGTCAGCCTCGTCGCCACCGACGCCATCATCGTCGCTCTTGTTGTCCCCGCCGGTCGCCATCGTTTCTCCCTTCTCTTGCTCCTCACTTCCCTTTTTCTTTTCCGTCATTCGGCCCTTCTCTCATCAGGTCCCTGCCGCCCTCCCCCGTTCGTGCTCTCTTCGTTCCTGCTGCTGCCTGGGAGGTTCGCTGGGGAGGGGGGGGAGAGGAGAAGAAGGAAGCCTAGGCGGAGGACGCGGAGAGCAGGGAAGATGAACGAGGAGAAGGACGAGGAGGGGGAGGACGTGAGAGGGGGAGGAGGGAGGAGGAGAGGGGGCAGGAGAGGTGGACCCAGGATGATGAGTAGCGAACGGTCGCACTTGGACCAACGAGTTCTTTTAGCTTCAACGGTTGATGAATATTGGCGGGGCTACGCGTGGTGTTATAGCTGGCCGTGGTCGGCCAATAAGGCAGTGGTCGTCAGATCGGATCGCAAGGCAAAGGTTGCCTCGCGCTTTTAATCTTATCGGGGCAAATGAAAAAAAAAAAAAAAAAAAAAAAAAAAAAAAAAAAAAAAAAAAAAAAAAAAAAAAACGTTTCGCCTGAGAGCATCCTTGCCAAATCTGTTGGCGACTACAGTGTCGCCACCAGCCTTCGCCGCGCAAAGTCTTGACGTCTAGAGTGTCGCCACCTCTCGTCTTGACGCGCGGGGTTGCTTACAGGTGTGTAAGCACCAAGCGTCTTGACGCAATGCCCCCCCCCCCCCTCTGCAGTTTTGACCCCAGCGGCGCGCCCAAGGTGTCCCCGCGCGCCCGCGCCATTCATTTCGGCACATCCCTCACACGTTTCGTGGTTACATACGGAACTCCACCGATGGCGCCAGCGGCGGTGTTTACATGCGTCCGCGCCACTGATTTCGGCACACCTCTCACGCGCTTCGTGGCCCCATAGGGAGCTCCACCGAAGGCCCTTGTGGCGGTGTCCACATGCGCTCGCGCTACCCATGTCGGCGCGCCCCTCAGGCCTCGTGGCCCCACACGGAGCTCAACCAAAGGCTCCAGTGGCGGTGCCCACATGTTTCTTCGCCACCCACGTCGCACACCGTTCACGCGTTTCGTGGCCCCACACAGCGCTCCACCGAAGGCCCCAGAGGCGGTGTCCATATGCGTCCGCGCCACCCACTTTGCACACCCTTCACACGTTTCGTGGCCCCACACGGAGCTCCCCCGAAGGCCCCAGAGGCGGTGTCCACGTGCAGCCTCGCCACCCATGTCGGCGCACCTCTCACCCGTTTCGTGGCCCCAGAAGGAGCTCCACTGTAGGCCTCAGAGATGGTGTCCACATGCGCTCGCGCTACCCATGTCGGCGCGCCCCTCACACTTTTCGTGGCCCCATACGGAGCTCCACTGAAGGTCCCGCGTCCGCGCCATTCATTTCGGCACATCCTTCACACGTGTCGTGGTCACATAGGGGGCTCCACCGATGGCACCAGCGGCGGTGTCCACATGCGTCCGCGCCACTGATTCCGGCGCACGTCTCATGCTCTTCGTGGCCCCATAGGGAGCTCCACCGAAATCCGCACTGGCGGTGTCCACGTGTGCTCGCGCCACCCATGTCGGCGCGCCTCTCACACGTTTCGTAGCCCCATAAGGGAGCTCCACCGAAGGCCCCAGAGGCGGTGCCCACATGCGTCCGCGCCGCCCATTTCGGCGCACCCCTTGCACCTTTCTCGGCCCTACCGGGAGTTCCACCGAAAGCCCACTTGCGGTGTCCACATGCGTCCGCGCCACCGACTTCGGCACTTTCCTCACTTGATTCGTGGCCCCACACGGAGAACCACCGAAGGCTCCAGCGGCTGTGTCCACATGCGTCCGCGCCACTGATTTCGGCACCCCCCCTATACGTTTCGAGGTCCAGTAGGGTTCTCCACAAAAGTCTCCAGAGGCGGTGTCCACATGCGTTCGCGCCACCCATGTTGGCGCGCCCCTCACACGCTTCGTGGCCCCATAGGGAGCTCCACCGAAATCCGCGCTGGCGGTGTCCACATGCGTCCGCACCACCCACGTCGGAGCGCCCGTCACACGTTTCGCCAGTGACGGTGTCCACATGCGTCCGCGCCGCCCCATTTGCACACCCTTCACACGTTTCGTGGCCCCTCACGGCGCTCCACCGAAGGCCCCAGAGGCGGTGTCAACATGCGCCCGCGCCACCCAGTGTGCACACCTTTCACACGTTTCGCGCCCCCGTAGGGAACTCCACCAGTGGCACTGGCGACGGTGTCCACATGCGTCCGCGCCACCCGTGTCGGCGCACCCCTCGATCGCCTCGTGGCCCCGCAAGGAGCTCCACTGAAAGATCAAGAGGCGGTGTCCACATGCGTCCGCGCCAACCATTTCGGCGCACCTCTCACACGTTTCGTGGCCCCATAGGGAGCTCCACCGAAGGCGCTGGCGGCGGTGCCCACATGCGTCCGCGCCGTTCCGTTCGCACAATTCTCACACGTTTCTTAAAACAAAAATTCTCATACGCTTCGCGGCTCCATAGCGAGCTCCACCGAAGGCGCCAGAGGCGGTGTCGGCACACCCGTCGCACGGTTCGTGGCGCCGTAGGGATCGCCAGCGAAAACTATAGTCACAATTGCAGTACTCACAACAGCGTATGGTTGGGGCCGTTGCCAGGATAATCATTTGGGTTAGTTTTCGGGGGGGCTCCACGTGCCCTTTTCTGGTGTCTTTAGAGCCAGCATTCGGTTACGCTGTTGAAGCTGCCCGAAAATTCCGGCCGCCTGGTCAGGGCGCCGTGGCTGAGAGGTGGCTGTTGATTCACCCCGATCGGGCGACCCTGAAGGAGATGTCCGCCGATCGTCTTCTGGTGGCTGGACCGATGCTCGTTATGAGATCCGGGTATCAGCGCCACGGTGACCTTGCGGTCTGTTCATCCTGAGCGCCGCGGGTTTCCGATGATGTACTATGGGTTTCCTGCTCTGTTGGGGCCATCTTTTTTGTTTCCCGCTCTATCTGTGCCATTGTGTTTGCCCCGGATGCTGCTGTTGCTGCGCTGCTCTGCGCCCTCTCCCACGCGTCCTCCTGCTTCTGCTCTGCTACGCTGGCGCCGCTGCGTGCGCGTTGCAGCGTTGGGTGGGCCTTCGCCTGGCTTGGCCCGTGTCAGCCCGATGTCCTGGCGAGGGCGCGCCACCTTCTGGCACTGCGTCTTATCTTCCATTCCTTCATTCTTATTTTTGCACCGGCCTGCTCGCTTACTCTTTCTGCATTGCCCCGGAAGCGGCGCCTTTTCCTCGACGACGATTGCCGCGAACGTTTTCCTCACTTTTGCTATCTGGTCGTCTAAGTGGGCAGGACTTGGACGCATATTGCAAGCCGCCGCCAGAGGCAGATTGATTATTTTTGCGTTGATGCGAGGGCCATGGGTACGACAAAAGATTCTGAAGCAAATGGTGACATTGAATTGGGGTTGGACCACAGAGCGGTCAAATTGTCACTGCAGCTTCCCGGGCGCAGAAAGAAACGCACGAGCAAACATTGTGCGAAAAATGTCGATTGGCGTTCTGTCGACGCACAGAAGTTTGAGCATGCGGTCACGGCGGCTCTCCGGAGCAAGTTGGACAGCACTGCTGGCGACGAGTTGGTTGCATCGACAATGTGTGGCGCCAGCGACGGCGCTCTCAACGAGGCAAGTCAGGCGTGTGCAGCGAAAGGGCCGGCCCCGAAGAAGCGACAGGAGTTGCCGCTCTCGATCCCCGAGTTCATCAACGAAAGGAGGAGGGCCAAAGCGGCTCAGGGAGAGATCGACTACCGGCCTCTGACGGGAATCAGTAAACAGCTGCAGAAGGAGCTGCGGGCCTGGGAGATGCAGAAAAGAAAATCGCGAATCGCCAGCATCTTGGAGCAACGCCGGGGGATCGGGCAGATCCAGGACATCGACAACGGACTCCGGAAGCAACGGCTGACGAGCGTGAAAGATAAGAACGGAGATGTGCACACCGACAGGCAGAGCATCGTCGATGTGTTTGCTTCTTTTTAAGCGGAGTTGTATGCCGATCCGAGCAAGGAGAGGCAGCAGGCGCCTGACGGGGAAGTACATGCAGAGCGTATTCAATGTGTAACTGTCGCGGAGGTGGAGGAGCACGTCAGAAAGATAAAGAGAGGAAAGGCGACTGATAATGCGAACGTCGTTGCCGAAATTTTCAAGACTGGAGGGGGGTATCTGCTCGAGGTAGTGGCTGGGGTCTTCACCAAGATTTTGACAGAAGGGAACGAAACGCCAGAATCTTGAAGAAAGCTAGTATTAAAATATTGCTCAAGAAAGGAACCCGCAGTTGCCGTCGAACTACCGGCCAATCTCGTTTCTGCCAATTCTTTACAAGTTATTCAGCATGGTGCTACATTCTCGTCTGGTGCAATTCCTCCGGAAAGGCTTCAGCTGCGATGATCACCTGCTTTCTGTTGTGTTCCTACACGAAGAGATGGCCGAATCCCACCAGCCCTTTGGGCGTGAGTGGTTTAGCGAGCTTTCTCTGTCCTCAACCCCCCAACCCCCCTTCTTCCCCTTCGGGGAGGGGTTTACCCCTCCCCCTCCCCCCTCCCCCTGGGCCTGGAGAGGGAGTCCCGCGGGTGGTCAGGGGGGTCTTTTTCGACTCCTGGGAGGGCCAAAAAAAACTACGACCCTCACGAGGATTCTGGCCCCGTCGGGGGGACACAGAAATAACCCTCTCCTCTTCTGTGAAGCCAAAATCTTTGATTTTACTACGGTTTGGGCACCATTTTGGCCTTTTGAGGGGGCAGCGCTCCTCTTCCTTCTTCTCAAAATCATTGATTTTACGAAGGTTTTGGGCTCCTTTTGTCCTTCTCAGGGGGTAGCGCTCATTTGCGCTTCTGAGGAGGTCGCAAGAAGCCCCCAAGAGGCCCCAAGATGCCCCCAGGATGCTCCCAAGATGCCTCCAAGAGGCTCCCAAGAGGCCCCCGAGAGGCCCCCAGAGGCTCCCAACAGGCCCCCACGAGGCTCCCACGAGGCCCCCAGAGCCCCCAAGAGGCTCCCAAGAGGCCGCCAAGAGGCTCCCAAGAGGCGCCCAAGAGGCCCCCAGAGGCCCCCAAGAAGCCACCAAGAGGCCCCACGAGGAGCCCGACCGACGCACACCAGGACGAGGGGCCCGAACGACTCACACCACGAAGAGTCCGAACGACTCACACCACAAGGAGGGGCCCGAACGACTCATACCAGGACGAGGCGCCCGACCGACTCACACCACGAGGAACCCGAACGATTCACACCACGACGCGGGCCTCGAACGACTCACACCACGTGGAACCCGAACGAGTCACACCAGGAGGAGGGGGGGCAGCGCTCCTCTTCCTTCTCAAATTCATTGACTTTACGTAGGTTGTGGGCTCATTTTGTCCTTCTCAGGGGGTAGCGCTCATTTGCGCTTCTGAGGAGGTCGCAAGAAGCCCCCAAGAGGCCCCAAGATGCCCCCAGGATGCCCCCCAGAGGCCTCCAAGAGGCTCCCAAAGAGCCCCTCAATAGGCCCCGAGAGGCTCCCAACAGGCCCCCACGAGGCTCCCACGAGGCCCCCAGATCCCCCAAGAGGCTCCCAAGAGGCCGCCAATAGGCTCCCAAGAGGCGCCCAAGAGGCCCCCCAGAGGCCGCCAAGAGGCTACCAAGAGGCCCCACGAGGAGCCCGAACGATTCACACCAGGACGAGGGGCCCGAACGACTCACACCACGAAGAGCCCGAACGACTCACACCACAAGGAGGGGCCCGAACGACCCATACCAGGACGAGGCGCCCGACCGACTCACACCACGAGGAGCCCGAACGACTCACACCACGACGCGGGCCTCGAACGACTCACACCACGTGGCGCCCGAACGAGTCACACCAGGAGGAGGGGGGCAGCGCTCATCTTCCTTCTTTTCAAAATCATTGACTTTACGTAGGTTTTGGGCTCATTTTGTCCTTCTCAGGGGGTAGCGATCATTTGCGTTTCTGAGGAGGTCGCAAGAAGCCCCCAAGAGGCCCCAAGATGCACCCAGAAGGCTCCCAAGAGGCCCCCAAGAGCACCCCAGAGGCTCCCAACAGGCCCCCACGAGGCTCCCACGAGGCCCCCAGAGCCCCCACGAGGCTCCCCTGGGGCCCCCAAGAGGCCCCCAAGAGGCGCCCAAGAGCCCCCAAGCGGCCCCCAAGAGGCTCCCAAGAGGCCCCGCGAGGAGCCCGAACGACTCGCGCACGACTCACACCACGAAGAGCCCGAACGACTCACACCACAAGGAGGGGCCCGAACGACTCATACCAGGACGAGGCGCCCGACCGACTCACACCACGAGGAGCCCGAACGACTCACACCACGACGCGGGCCTCGAGCGACTCACACCACGTGGAGCCCGAACGAGTCACACCAGGAGGAGGGGCAACGCTCAGACAAGCCCCCCAAGAGGGCCCCCAGAGGTCCACCAGATGGCCCCAAGAGGTCCCCAGATGGCACACAGGAGGTCCCCAGGAGGCACCACGAGGCCTCCATGAGGCCCCGAAGATACCCCCAAGAGGTCCCCAAGAGGCCCCAAGAGGCGCCGAAGACGCCCCCAAGAGGCCTCCGAGCGGCTTCCCAAAGACATCTACTACTTCTTCTCCTACGATTACTACTACTTTTACTACTACTACTACTACTACTCATACCCGTTTGACTACATCATCTCGTACTACTACAACTACAACTACTCTTACGACTACTACCAGATCTATTCGAACTACTATGAGTCCTACTACCACTAGAGATACTACCACCACTACTACTACTACTACTACTACTGCTACTACTATTACTACTACTACTGCTACTACTACTACTACTACTACTACTACTACTACTACTACTAGTACTACTAGTAGTACTACTACTACTACTACTACTACTACTACTACTACTACTACTACTACTACTACTACTACTACTACTACTACTACTACTACTACTACTACTACTACTACTACTACTACTACTACTACCACCACTACTACTACTACTACTACTACTACTACTACTACCACTATCACTACTTATTACTACTACCACAACTTCCATATAGACCACTGCTCTAGTGACTGCCTCTGGTACTGGGGCAACTAGTACGACGACGACGTTGACGACTACGTTTGCTACTACCGCTGATGCTGGAAATACCACTACTACTACTACTACTACCACTACGACTACTATTGCTACTACTCCCACTACTATCAGTACTACTACTACTACTACTACTACTACTACTACTACTACTACTAGTGTTACTGCTATCGCTACTACTCGTATTACTACTACTACTACTACTACTACTACTACTACTACTACTAGTACTACTACTACTAGTATTACTACTATTACTACTACTGCTACTACTACTACTACTACTACTACGACTACTACTACTACCACTAATTCTACTACAACTACTACCTCTACCAGTACTACAACTGATCCTCCTGGTACTACTTCTACTACTACGACTAGGAATCGAAGAGGAGGAAGAGGAGGAGGGGAAGAAGGCGATGGGAGGCAAAACAGACGGCGACAGGATTTCAGTTCGACAAGAGAGCCCCCCCACGAATCCACTGCACCGTGGTAGCGGCCACACCCACGGCTAAAACTGCCTGATATGCCAGTGTGGCAAAGTAGCGGTACCACCCATTACTGATGCAGCGGTGTATCACAAGGTACTCCCAGTACTGGACGAGAGACTATACACCATCTCGGCCCACTGCTGGACACCCGAAGGAACCCAGCAATCACCAAGAATATCAGGCAATAGCGGCGAGTACAGTAGACAGCACCATCACCTCAGCAGAATAACAAGCACCAGTACAGAATCCAGAAGCCAGTACCAGCGAACCCACGAACAGAAACTCAATTGAGGCAACATCCCGTGTCCCGACTCGCTCTACCCAGAGTCATAGTGGTCAGAAGTGCACTCGACAGTCGTGCAATACAGAGCATACACCATCGGAGCCCAATGCAGTACGCTAGTAGTAAGACAGACGACGCGCTCCGCGCCGTACATCATCGTCCCCAGGCTTTGTTCCACCATCCTGGATTAGAATGCAGGTGGTGTGCGTCGTTGGGGCCCCTCGCCCTGGTGTGAGTCGTTCGGGCCCCTCCTTGTGTGAGTCGTTCGGGCCCTTCGCCGAACGACTCGCACATCGAGGACGGGCCCGAACGACTCTGACCAGGAGGGGGGCCCGAACTACTCACACCAGGAGGAGAGCACCGAACGAATCCACTGCACCGTGGTAGCGGCCACACCCACGGCTCAAATTGCCTGATATCCCAGTGTGGCAAAGTAGCGATACCACCCATTACTGATGCAGCGGTGTATCACAAGGTACTCCCAGTAAGGGACGAAAGACTATACACCATCTCAGCCCACTGCTGGACACCCGAAGGAACCCAGCAATCACCAAGAATAAGAGGCAATAGCGGCGAGTACAGTAACCAGCACCATCACCTCAGCAGAATAACAAACACCAGTACAGAATCCAGAAGCCAGTACCAGCGAACCCACGAACAGAAACTCAATTGAAGCAACATCCCGTGTCCCGACTCGCTCTACCCAGAGTCATAGTGGTCAGAAGTGCACTCGACAGTCGTGCAATACAGAGCATACACCATCGGAGCCCAATGCCGTACGCCAGTAGTAAGACTGAGACGACGCGTTCCGCGCCGTACATCATCGTCCCCAGGCTTTGCTCCACCATCCTGTATTAGAATGCAGGTGGTGTGCGTCGTTGGGGCCCCTCGCCCTGGTGTGAGTCGTTCGGGCCCTTCCTTGTGTGAGTCGTTCGGGCCCTTCGCCGAACGACTCACACATCGAGGACGGGCCCGAACGACTCTGACCAGGAGGGGGGGCCCGAACTACTCACACCAGGAGGAGAGCACCGAACGAATCCACTGCACCGTGGTAGCGGCCACACCCACGGCTAAAACCGCCTGATATC